CTTCCCCGTCTCTCACACAAATCCTGCAATTTAACATCGACACTGCCACCTTCTTTTCATCATGGATATTTACACTGCGTAACATTACACGTACAAGCTGATTAAAAAACACGTTCCTTCGGAGTGGGCAGGTAGGAACTTGGTTGGACAGCGCATTCGTGCACGACAGACAGACAAATACTCCCCGGTGGGCAGTGTGGAACCTGTTGTTCCTACTTGTATAATGGTGGTAGTAGTAGTATTAAAAAAATAAGTGACGAAGACGCGCATATGTTGAGCCATTCGGCCCAAGGGATTATGTAATGACAGTCATAAACAGCTGTTTTTGGAGAAGGTGGGGGGCGGTGGGGGGGTGAAGGGGAGGGTCGTTTGGGAGGATTCGAGGGGTAAACACGAGCACGTGGACGCTGACGGCTTCCACCCCACACATTCCACTGACGACGTCACTGGTGAGATTTTCACTTAAAAACATCAACACACCGACCATGAAACTTGGATGGGTTTTTTTTTTCTCAGAAGCTAAAAAAACAACCCCAAGGCTGTTCGGCGGTCAACGACCCTGTCCGGTTAAACGCGTTGGGGTTGTGCTCAGATTGTTAACATTCGTGATTGTTAGTCTACACTTAAATTTCGATGTAAAGCTTCGTGACTGCGGGGATTCATCTTCTTGGTTCTTTCGGTAAGGTTACGTAGAAGGGAAATAATAAAATAATAATAAAACATTAAAATACAATTCTCACGACGTTTCGGCCACAACGCAAGCAGCCGTCCTCAGGTGAAGAACAGGTCTTTCAGCGTCTGAAATTCCGACAGAATTTCAGACGCTGTCTTTCCGACAAACCTGTTCTTCACCTGAGGACGGCTGCTTGCGTTGTGGCCGAAACGTCGTGAGAATTGTATTTTATTATGTTTTATTATTATTTTATTATTTCTCTTCTACGTGATTTACCGAAAGAACCAAGAAGATAGTCCACACTTGTGATGAAACGTGACAAATCCCTTACTAATTGGCTGTGTCGGGTGGTGGAGGGTTACGACACATTTATACTTACGCGATCTAACCCAAAAACCTTTATTATAAACGCTTATTAGTTCACGTGTGTGTGTTTGTAAAAAAAAGATTTACATTTGGGGTTATGCTTCCGTGAGCACTAGAAGTTGTTAAACCATCAGCGTTTTAGGATATTAGCTATCACTCGCCATCAGCACTTGAGATTCATAATCATGTGTATTTTGCTGTTGTTAAGCAGTTTATAACACTCAAAAGTAATCAATACAACAGGTAAAATTCGTGTTAAATTAATACTTAGTTATTGTTTCGCATTAGTTTATTAAAATTACTGCAGTTTACACTTGAGACCTATACCTCATTAACACTGGAGATGAGTACATACTTAACAATTGATCGATCGGAGGGTTCAACACCGAGGTGACATCGGAGCGTGTACGGCGTTTGTTTATAGTGCCGAAAGTGTTTACCCGAGTCAAATGTTTCCGTCTGCATGAGTTCCGTGACGCTGTTGACCGGGCAGCTTTGATGTCAACAAGGCTAAGGGCAGCTCACCCTTTGTCGGAGCTTTCCCCACGTGAGACACGAGGCTTTGGGGAGACCCTGACGTTCAGTATAAAGCAGCAAGGGCCAGTGTTGTTTGGCGCTGGAGTAAAATACAAGCGGTTCAAATGTTACAGGGCGGAGCGGCGGTGCAAATGCACTGGGCTGGGTGGTCCAGATGTCTTGTGACCCCCCTCCCCCCAATTTATTAACCCCTATTGTTTTTCTTCCTCTGCTAATTCATTTCTGTTTTCACACCCATTGGTATGCAAAAATATTAAGCTTTAAATAATTAAATGGGTGTCACAAAACATCTGGACCATCCTGTTGTACTCTGGACGTGAAGTCCTGAGTTCAATTCCCGGTCACGGCTCACACCAGCGGCAAGTCATGTCCACACCGCAGAGGTCGCAAACGGGTTTTGATTCCTTACCCGTACCCGGCCGCACCAGGGTCGCAAACGGGTACCCGTACCCGGCCGGGTAGCTGGGTATCGGATAGGGTACGGGTATCGGGTACCCGGTTGCGACCTCTGCCACACCGGTCCTGCGAACCCCGTCTCCTCCCTCCGCTTCCCCAGTCCGCACCGACCAGCATGGTGAAGTATGGTCAAACAACGGCCATGACTTACATTGTGTGGGGAGATCGTCATCGGGCACATGGCTGTGTAGCGTTCAATCAGTTGACAAGTCTTTGTAAATCCACAGCTGAATGAAGGCCTTCCAATACCGCAAAGCAGTCGTGGGGGTTGTCAGAAAAGCAATTTACAAGGTGATGCATTCTGTGCTCGGTAAGAAACTGAGGTACAAAATAGTTTACAATCGAAATCATTCTTGGAGAGAGTAATATGTGTGGGCTACGCATCATGTTAGCTCTACTTAATAGTCCCCCTACCTTCCAAATTTCTATTAATTTCCACGAATTTTGTGATGATCAAATATAAAGATTGGTCATTGTCTCATTTCCACGTTCTGTTTTGTACTCGCCGGCTAATTTGCATTGCCTTGTTTGTACCGTCTCGTTTATAATAATCATACCACAAGAAGAATGATTTACATTTTTATTTAAAGCTTTCGTGACTGCAGGGATTCATATTCTTGGTTCTTTCGGTAAAGTCACATAGAAGGGAAATAATAAAATAATAAAAATATAAAACAATATATTTTTTATGTTGTTATTTCCCTTCTACGTGACTTTACCGAAAGAACCAAGAATAAGAATGATTTATTTATGATAAAGTTCCATCTGTTACACTTGCGACGTCTCGGAGTGCCTCACACGCGACGACAAGCGACGTGCACCTCAACTGAACACATTTGAAAGGGCACCCCCAGTGGCAGCTGTCCCTGTGCGGCAAAGGGGTGACGCGGCAACCTGGCCCGAATGCAGACACGAGAGTCGGAGATTAAAGGGGCGGTGATTGCTGCTGTCTGTAATCACAATTGAGTAATTTGTGAGTCATTTGTGAGTAATTTTGCGAGCAATTTTCTAGTTTGGTCAATGTGGACCATGCTGCCTGCACACAACCACAGCGTGTTGTTGTTCTTCCCACCCGCACCTCCCGATCGGCACGGTTGGCTGCGTACGGTGCAAAAGAAGTTCAACATACCGTAACATACGTGTACCGTCCCATCTGTGCAGTCTGGTATTTTGTCGGTACTGCCTAATCGGTACCATCTATTGTCTCCTGTGTACTTGCTGTTGGTACTATCTCATGTATTGTACCTTGCATTCGATCTCGTTTGTATTGTGGATACTATTTTTGTTTGTTGTTTTAGTTGATCATTATTTCTGACCATTTAGCTTTTCAATGTTGTTTACTCACGTTTTCATCTGCAAACACTTCTCTTCTCAGTCATCCTTTGCTTATAGCTCAAATACCCCTTTTGTCTGGCACCTCGAGATTGTACTACCGCATGGGAAGCCCACGAACTCATGGTCCACGCCAAATCGCATCCACCGCACAGAGCACGGCAGATGCGGATACCTGATGGACAAATGGAAAATGCAAAACTCCCCAGTGTCCGACTGTGCTCATCCAGAAGAGACCGTACAACGTTTCACCACGAAATGGCCCGATCCGCAAATAAGAATCGGAATCTTTATTTATCCTGATTAAACAAATGCTGATGGTAAACATTGTTCGAGAAAGCTATTTTACAGCCGGAATAACATGAACAGGATTTGGAGGCATGACAAAATGTTTATTTTTCTACATTTTTAGTCAGTGTGCCACTACGAAGGAGACATCACCACAGCGATATACAACTCCACTGCTCCTGGCACGCGTGTCTGGCTTGACCACCTGAATGTGAAATTGTAGTTGTTACATCTACATCGACAGCCGTACGAAAGAAGACTGCGTCGGAGGCATGGTATAAATAAGTGATGATGATGATGGTAAATCGTAAATATTACAAGCAAAATTCTATCACGAGTGGAATAATCTATTTTAACCAATGAAGCGTTTCCTTCTATTTATATTTGACAGTGCGCCTCCTATTATAGAGAGGGGCTCACATTCTCGGTTTGTGGATTTTAGCAAGATGCTTTCGTAGATAACCTAGATTATCCGGATGCTTTCTGGTATTTTAATTAACAGGTTTATATCATTAAGAGCCTACGGTCAGACGGTGGTCACCAGTCTAAAACCATTTGAACGGAGTACCGCAATTGCCCTCTTCCAATTTGCGCTTGCAGGGAATTTAATATTTAGCTTTGATTGAGCATTGCTCTGTGTGTGTTCAATATTTTCAATTCCTCACGTGATAGTGTGTTTGTTATTGTGTGTTGGCCTTATTGTCGCACAGTAGGTGGCACGGGTAGTGCATCGGCCAGTCAACTCAGTCAGTCGACCCATGGTACCTGGGTCTGCCCCGTGACCTCCTGCAAGCGGACGTTCGACACTTCACGTGGCCTTAATGTGCACATAGCCTGGCACAAGCCCCGTGGTGACGTCACCGGCACTTAGTGGCGAATGGCGGTTATTGTTGGTCTTTCTACTTCATTGCTGTACAGTACTTTGTTGATTTATTTTCTTTTCTGTTTGGTATTCTGGTGAGTCGGGGTCATCTTGCAAATGAGACTGTCCTGGTCTCCTGAGTTCTCACCTGGATATCGAGAAGGGTTCTCCTGAAGCCATCCACTGGCTCACTCACCAGCCTACGAGATGAGGAGGAGCAGATGAAGACGCAGCCTTTCCTCGGTTATCCCAGTGGCTCGCTGTGCAAACCTACTTGCGATTCTACATTCCTGCGGCAGATCTAAATCATAGAAGCGAAAATGTATCTATTATTGAATTGAATCATGCCAATTGAACGTTTGGGTGGTACTCCCCCCTCCCTACCCACCCCTTTCCCCCCCCCACTTGACCCAACTCTCACCTGGGCCCCCTAGCTCCCCCAAGCTGTCTCTTTAATCCCGCCTCGTGTCTCCTCCTTCCGTACAGACACGATGGCGAGCACACTGGGCTGTTGATGGCTGCCACGATGGAGCTCTAGGCGTGGTGGTGGTGGCGGCGGTGGTGGGGGCCTGGGGCCGGCGGAGGTCGGCAGGTTGGAGGCCGGCGAGAATGCGGCGCCGCAGCCTGCAGGGACGCATCGAAAGTCTGGGGGGCGGCGGAGCGACGCGGGGGGCGGGGGGCCGCGTGCTCCGCTCGGCCTCTCCCGAAGAGCGCACGTCCCTGGTGAGGCCCGGCACGGCACAGTGTCACCACAGCTGCTGCTGCTGCTGGTGTTATTCTTCTTCCGTATGGCTGACGTAGATGCAGAGCAATAAGTACAATTCCACATTCGGTGGTCAAGCGAGTTAATCGCGTCAGGAGTAGAGGCAGTGTGCCACTGTGATGTCTCCCTTCGTATTTGTGGATCTCGGGCATTGCGTCATTATACGTGCTATGGTCTGTTCTGGATGGTCACAGTCGCACGCTGGAGAGTTTTTAAGTTTTCATTCGTGCATCAGGTATACGCATCTGCTGCCATGGTTTGCGCAGTGGATGCGGTTTGGGGTGGACCATGAGTTTTCCTGGAAGATCAAATCCAGGGATCTTCCGCGTTGAGTCTTTCACAAGGTGTTTTGTTTGTGAGTTGTTGTTGTTGCTATTGCAGACACATTAACTAATGCGTGTAACTGGCAGTGGTGGGCTGCGACTTCCACAACAGCCAATCGCGCACGGGCACACCGTGTGACCTGGCACCCCCAGCCCCACAGAGCCAGTCCGGAAATACCACAGCCATGTTGGTGCCTCAAGTGACCAGGGCATCTCAAGTTGCCACCTATCCCGCTGTTTTGTTCTCAGGATCGCCTTCTTTACCGAGGTAGCCTTCCGTACAGGAAACGTACTCGCAGGGCGAGCGATGTTTTGTCACCGTCACAAGTCTAATGTCGCTTAAACTCTACGAGAGTCACTACAAGTTCCAACTTAGTTTTTTGTTGTTTAATCATGACATTGGTGTTATGTCACGAGAATAAGTGTCCAGCCAGATCTCTTAACAGAACCAGCATGGCAGTCCAACCAATATTTAAACTTGCCACAGCTGGAATTTTTGCCGAATTAAAGTGGGAAAAAAATAATATCCGATTGTCTTTTTTGTTCAGTCATCGGTGAATGTGTTGAAGCCATCACCCCACTACACTTGTGAGCAAGGTTTAACCATGGGCGGTTTAAACTCTAATTTAACCCAGGGTCTCGGCTGTTCCAGCTGAGACCACCTGGCCACCTCCAGTGTAGACTACTGAAGATGTGGCAACCCAAAAAACAAACGGCTCTTGATTTGTGTGTCCTGGGTCTCCCCTTGGTGAGTCCAAAGCTAAATTAATGAGAAGCAAATCTTAAAGTCACTGAAACTCAGACTTTGAACCGCAGTCAGCTGCTCTGTCACCAAAGTCCAGTGATGTCGCTGCATCCGCCACAGGGATGGAGGAATGCTGCGTCACAGGCAGGTGCTGGTGAGATTGTTGCGACTTGGAGAGGCCTTCATCCAGCAGCGGATTGACCACAGCTGGTGATGATAATTCGCCAAAAACAAACTTTTTTACTGTTGTTGTAAGGTATTATGACTGCTTTCAGCCATAGTTTAAGCAGTGCTTCGTGGCGGAATCACAGTGGGACAGGTGGCGTTCATGCACAGGGCGCACGCGAGACGAAATCTACGCTCCGCCTGTTTTGGGAAGGCCGCGTGCTCTTGAGGACAAGCGCGCTGTCACTGTACGTAACCCGAGCCGTGGCACGGCGCCTCCCTGCAATTATACCGGCACCAGCGCATCGCCACGCTTGCCCCCACACCGTTTCGCCCGCAGCTTTTGTCGTCGTCGTCAGCCACGATCAATCCACTGCTGGGTGAAGGCCCCTCCCAAAGCCGTCGCCATCTCTTTCGGCCCTGCGATGCGACATTTCGCCGAGCTCCTGCGCGCGAGCTGATTCCATCGCTCCAAACGCACAGCGGACGTCCTCTCGGGCATGTTCCCTCCGACGTGTTCTCTCCGGCGTGTTCCCCTACTTTGGCTGCCGCTTTGTCGTTATTCTCGACCACTCACGACGTGTTCTCCTCAAGCCCATGTGTTTTTCTTAGCGGTCGATACGATGTCTCGAACAATGCTTGTGTTCTTTGCTATACGTGTTAATGATCATAATTCATAATAAAGGTTTTTGGGTTAGATCGCCTAAGTATAAATGTGTCGTAACCCTCCACTGCCCGACACAGCCAATGATAAAAGGATTTGTCACGTCAACAAAACGTCAAATAGTTACTTCTTCAGCCCACCGGTGTGTTGGAGAGTAAATCCACAACATTTACAATTTGAGTAGTACGACGTTTCGCTGGTAATTACAGAGATCAGAGGTGGAGGAGGGGCAAAATTATAATTATATAATAGGTTCGTAATTAGTTAATTAGTATGTGTTTTATCTGTAAGAAATTTAAAGTGTAAGATGTATTACTTAATAATACGCTTCCAGGCTGCACTAAGCGTGTAGCTGTCAGAGCGTTTAAAATTATTTGTATTTCTCTCAATTTCAACGGATTCTCGAATTAGTCTTGGCCAGTAATAATTAGTTTTACACGACACTTCAAGGTTATAATAGCCCCCCCTCCTCCTCCGCCTCCGATCTCTGCACCTGATTGGGTTCAGGTTGATGACGTCGTCAAATCGCCCGATGATGCTGGATCTAATCACCAGCGAAACATCATGGTACTCAAATTGTGAATGTTGTGGATTTACTCTTCAACACACCGGAGGGCTGGAGTAGTAATTGATTGGCGTTTTATAGTAATAGGTTTTTAGCCTTTCAACTGGTACAAAACTGACACCTTTACACAAGGCATCATGTTTGCAATAACCACAACACAAGCAGTCAAAATGCAAACAAAAAGAAACAACTCTGATGATGATAATGATATGCACTGCCCTTGAAGTTGATTGGTCCACACCCGAGACAACTTTTTTTAGAGCCTAGTCTCCATTGGTGTTGGACCAGATGACGCCAAAAGGCGTTATTGCAAACATGATTCCTTGTATAAAGATGTCAGTTTTGTACCAGTTGAAAGGGTTAAAACCTATTACTATATTTTGCCACTGGTAAATGAGGTCTCATAGTGTAATTGGCGTTTTGTTTATGTGATAAATCCCTTACTAATTGGCTGTGTCAGGTGGTGGAGGGTTACGACACATTTGTACTCACGCGATCTAACCCAAAAACCTTAACTATGAATAATATTGGTCGCGAAAGCCTACGCGCGTGAACTCTCCCTGTTTCTCGTAGCAATTCCAAGTATGCACGTCTTCATACTCCTTTGCGCACCTTTCGGCTAATTCACCTTTTCACTTTTGCAGCGTTGTGGGACCACATGAATGTCTCCGCACTTGGCAGGGACTGTTTACTGGGTTCTGTTTGCAGGTTGGCTCGTGAAACGCTGACACTCTGGAGTGCCTTTCGAACACTCTGGGCATTGTGTCTGCATGCGATATTATTTATATTTTTTTTCTACAGTGCTCTTTGAAAGCAATCGTACACTCGCGGCAAGGTCAACATCATTCCGCTGGTGAAACGGCTCTGGCGGAGGACAGAGTGCGTTCTATACGCCCTCTTTTGGGAGAAATGTTTACTAGGCGGTTCCCATTTGCACCCAGGATTTAAACAATAATTCTACGTTATGAAGGCAGGGAGCAATTGGGGAGACTTTGGAGCAATGAAAGGAAGTACGGTACAAAAATAAACGGTCCATTATTTGACAAAACATCCGGCCTTTTCAGTAAACACATTCATACAGTCTATACTTAATTTGGAGCTTTCGTGACTGCAGGAATTACTCTTTGGTTCCTTCGGTAAAGTCACATATAAAGAGGGAAAATAATTAAGTAAATACCAGCATGCTAGGAAAATAAAAAATTAATACAAGCATGCTAGTATTTAATTTATTATTTTCCCTCTTCCAGTGGCTAGCCGAAAAAATAAATAAATTAAGTACTAGCATGCTAGAAAAATAATAAATTAAATATTTGCATGCTAGTATTTCATTTATTATTTTTTCTCTTTATACGTGACTTTACCGAAAGAACCAAAGAGTCATACAGTCTAATTTACAAATGTTTGCATATGTTTTTTTTTGCCCGGGTTTGTTTGCGACGAGCAGGCGGCTGGCGAGGGGGGTGCCTCCGTGCCGGGGGGTCTCGTGCTGCCTGTGTTCGTCTTCCCCACGGAGCTCAGCTTCTTTGCGGATGACCAGCGCTCACACAAGCAGCTCCTCACCATCTACAACCCCTACGAGTTCCCCCTGCACTTCAAGGGTGCGGCGTCGCAGTCAAGTGGCACCTGTGTTTGTTTGGCGTGATGCGGCCGCGGATCGAAAAACTTCCAAGGGTTTTTAGATCCGCGGCCCTACGTTGGATCCGCCACTGGCACGACACTGGCACGACATCGGCACGACACTGGCACGACACCCCTTCAAGTGGAAAGTTAAAACAATACAAATCCAAAATAATACTTGCACTTGCTATTGGATGTATTAAGATTTTAGCTTGTTGTCCTTCCCCCGCACCTCCAATTATCACAGTTGGCTCCATAGGAAGTTCAACATAGATACATTTATTGCAGGCACAAGAATCGATTTGGATGTGTGTCAGTGGTTAGTTGCATGCCTAAACATCGTGATTGAAGATGCCATTTAATGCTTCAGTGACTCGGATCAAACTGCGAGCGCAGGAGCCAAGCGGGGGCGGTGGTCGGGTGGGTCTCGGCGTGATGTCCAGTGGCGTGGGCGAGTGAGTGAGCGAGCGACAGAATAAGAGAACGAGTGGTCAAGTGGGCAAGTGAGTGAGAGGGTAACCGAGCGAGTGGGTAGCGGGGCAGACAAGTCGGAGAGCAATCGGACGGGCGAGCGAATGAAGTTTCGCTGTCTTGTGTGTCCGCAGTCCTATGCACGGCCCCCACACGCTACACCGTGGTGGACGCAGAGGGGACGGTGAAGGAGCAGTGCTGCGTGGACATGTGAGTCGCCCACGCCCGGACGATCTGCCACTCGCACTGGGGGAGACGAACGCTGCCGAGACGGACGTTCGCGTGTTTGATTGCCAGACGATGGAAGCACAGAAATAAGTCTGATGTTTTAAGTCTGCGTGTGGTAATCGCAAGCAGCCAGTCCGTTCCATGAAGCGTTGTTGTTCACTCACCGGGCCAGGTCCCGCCCTCTCGAAAAACTAATTTGTATTCATGTCGGGTGGTGGAGGGTTTTGCAACAGAAATTTGGCCAGATGACGACGTCGCCTCGTCCAAAAATCGATTATGAAACGGCCGAAGTTGATGTTTGAAAAGGGGAATTTATTTTGTGTGCTCACGAATTACGCCGCTATTGTTGTGAGCGAGCATCTTTGAAGGCTGGAATGGGGCATGAGAGGGTGGTGTGATCAGCACTACGCCCTAGTGTTGATGTTTACACACCCTCAGCAGAGAATCGTTTCAAACGACATCAGGTTCGAGTATACACCACTGTTATTGGACACGAGCGGGAATCGAACTTGGGTGACCGGGTTTCGTAGTGCAGCGTGGTAATCAATAAACTACCGCTCGTTCGCACACGCACACAACTACGAAGATCCCCCACACAGCCCTAACAGACTGTTGGGACTGTTAGTAAGCACCTATGAAGGCCGGCATGGCACACCAGGGGATGGGTGGCACACACCAAACCCGGCCGCCTTTGTCTCCCTAGTGGCGATGTTGACACGCCGCACAAGGTACTCATTTGAGGCCTAATCGACCTAGGGGAGGCCCAGGGCCGGTTCAGATAATCGTCGCTGGTGTTGGCGGCGAGCGTAAAACGAACTTGGCTTTTCAAGTTCGTAGCGCAGCACGCTAACCACTACACTCCCGCTCCCTGCACGCACGCACGCACGCACACGCAGCACCATCCGGCACCACGCGGCCAGCCTCGCCGAGCACGTGGGGGAGACGGACAAGTTCCGCCTGGTGGTGTACGGCACCAGTGGCGGCGCCGAGGGGCGGAGGGAGATCGTCGCGACGCTGCACGCGACTGCCACGCAGGCGGCGCGCGGCGTGGACGACGGAGCCATGTCGCTGCCCGCGCGCCTCGAGGTGTGGGTCGCCCGCCCATGTCGCCATCGTCTTCGTCGTTTCGATTTAAAGCTTTCGTGACTGCAGGGATTCATCTTCTTGGTTCTTTCGTTAAAGTCACGTAGCAGGGAAATAATAAAATAAAACATAATAAAATACAATTCTCACGACGTTTCGGCCACAACACAAGCAGCCGTCCTCAGGTGAAGAACAGGTCTGTCGGATAGACAGCGTCCGAATGAACACCACCAAGCTTGGGGTGTGTATGTATTAAATATACGCTGCCAAGCTTGGTGGTGTTCATTCAGACGCTGTCTTTCCGACAGCCGTTCTTCACCTGAGGACGGCTGCTTGCGTTGTGGCCGAAACGTCATGACAATTGTATTTTATTATGTTTTATTATTATTTTATTATTTCCCTTCTACGTGACTTTACCGAAAGAACCAAGAAGGTCTTCGTCGTTCTTAAACGTTGCTACCAACAATCATAATAATGACGGTCATGGTCATAATCGTTGCGTTGATACGGCGTCGCGACAAACGCCTCGGCAACTGAAAGTCGCCTCTGCGTCACGGGTCATCTCAAACGTTTCAAGGGCGTGGCCCAGTGGCAGCCGTTCCTGTGCGTCACAAGGCGACTCGGCACCGGGCCTACACATGCCAGCAAGGGGCAATGATCGTCATGTGTTGTAATCCCAATTGAGTCATTCATTCGCGGCGTAATTCTTTTCGAATTTGACAAATTTGGACCGTGACGCCCAGCTTGTTTCGAAAGACATGTTTTGCGTCCCCTGTAAAGCAGACCGTGCGTACTTATGGTCCGTACATTCACAGTAATAGCCAATAAATTGTACTAATAAAACCAGTGCTAGCTCTTTTATTGCCAATACATAGCTACACTATGCTTAACCATCGTGTTACAACAACACATGGGAGGTGCGGGTAATTATCGCTCACATTGCATCGTAAAGTATGGGTCGACTGTGGTCTCTGTGTAAGTCTGTGGGTCTGTATGTAAGTGTAATAGTGACTGGTGAAGTGTCACTCCCCATTGCTCACGTCACCGCCCATCGTGCAATACAGGAGGTTCAAATGGTATCTGGTGACCCCAGAACGTTTCTAGTCCACCGATTAACAGGGTGGCGTTCCACACGCGCGCGCAGGTGTGTATGTATGCACAACTACTAGCCAACCGTGCTAATCGGAGGTGCGTGTGTTGGCAGAGGGGAGGAGCTTCAGCGCAGAGAGACGCGGGGCGACAGAAGGCCGGAGAGAGGGCGGCAGCTGCAGTGCGGGAAGCCGACTCCATATTTGAGCGCGCTCACTACACACGCGGTACCGCCACTGCACACCGCAAAACACCGCATCGCATTCGATTCACATGTGCTTCTCTTGGCAGCGAGCAGGTTTATTCAAATACCACCATCCCCGGCCCGCCCGCCACAGCAAGGCAAATGGGTATACCTCAGTCGATTGGGAGGTAGCTTTTGGTGGGGTCAAGTGTGGGTATTCTTCCACCTACAACACATCTGCCGAGCATGGAAGTGTAGGCCGAAATGCCGTTGAGTGGAGACCTTTTCGCCAGCAGTAGCATGAGCAAGGATTTGCAGGGTTTTGTACCTTTGACACGGACACATTGAAACACAGCTGTAACCAAATTGATATGCGGTCAATCTTGCCAGATCTCGAAAGCTAAAGCAGACTTGAGCCTGCATTAAGATGGTTCTTGGATGGTTGACCACCACACGCAATTGGTGGCTACGTTGTCAACAGAGTGCAGGCCGTGCACCTGCACCGGGGCCCACATGCTGTTAAGGGGGTAGGGGGAAGGGCCCCCCAGGCGCCGAGCTACTTAAAGAGAAACCCGGAGAGGGGGTGGGGGTGTCCCATTTCATTCCTCGCACCATGGCCCATGTCCAACCACCACAACGCCACCGTTACCCTCGCTGACGCTGGCTGTTGCGCCGTCCTTCTCTCTCTCCTGCACCCCGCGCGACGACCGAAGCAGGTGTGCGCGCGGGTAGCGGCGCCAGCTACCTGGTGATCCTGACGGGAGTGGTGTGCGTGGTGGCGCTGATGCTACCCACGCTGGGTGACACGGGCTCCCTGCTGCCCCACTACCTGCATCTCACCGCCCACCAGAAGCTGGTCGCTGCCTATGTGCTGGGTACGGATTTAGGGTTGTTAATAGTATTCTTTGGGTTCGAAATGAAACCGGAAGAAAAAAATGAAATGTTATCGGTACCGAGGCTCCCACAAGGATGGTGTGTGGCAGTTTGGCGCAAGCTATCAGTCGTGTCGCTACGGTCCTCTGCAGTGAGTGCAATGTCTTTAAAAACAACAGCGCTATGCCTCTCTAAAATAACACTGAGCCGCTTGCGTGTTCTGAGATTCAGAGGTGAATGGGACACCCACCCTGCGAATTTCAGACGTCTCGGACATGGGAAAGGGTTAATTCGCGTTAAGCGCATTAATAATTGGAAAAGAAAACAAATCTGAATTGGTGTCCGGTTTACCGCACGTATAGAAATGTTCAGCATTTAATTTTGCACGTTTACCTTTTTAACTGAAAAACAAAGGCCAGCGGCCACTGCTGTCACGGTTAAAACGGCGGTCAAAATAATGGTGGTAAAGCTTTTTTTAAATCCACCCCCACCGCCGTTCTACACACAGCAGCATAAATAAGTACTACCGCAGGCACGTCAATGGGCAGGTTGCGTGTGGTGGGGTACAGCTGTGGACCGACAAAGGGCTGTTGGATGAAGTTAAATAAATAAAAATATCAAGAAATTGGGAATACCAAAGCTGTTCCAATTAACATTGTGACCCATGGACCACACGGAGTGGATGACTCGTGACCTGATTTTTAAACCCCCTGGTGCACGTCAACACGAAATTTGGCAAAGTGGGCTGTGAAGCACGGAATATGCTACACCGCTTTTCACCATAATTTTAAAGTTTCTTAAAATCCTTCCTCACCCTTAGGCTTACTCGCTGTAATTAAAGAAATCCAAGGTCAATTAAAATGTGCTCCTGTGGGTGACTGGGATTATCCCTGGAGGAGCGCGTCATTTTAAATCGCGACAGCACACGTGAACGTAAAGTTTCCAAATGTGTCTTTGATCGCCTCCCTTTGATTTTACGTAACTATTTCGTACTTTGGAGTGCGTTCTTTATTTTAATAACGTGACGTGTTAATAACCGCATTGCGTTTGATAGCTAAATGAATAGATACTGCATTCTTGCGTTTTGAACGCATGGCTTGGATCTACAGTCATGATAGCCATCTGGATGTTGTCCATTTTCAACCGTTGAAACTGCATTTGCAGATCGTGTGAAAAGTGACGGGCAGCGCATGTATGTCGAACTTCTTTTGCACTGTACGTAGCCAACCGTGCGATTCGGAGGTGCGGGGGAAGGACAACAAACTAAACACAACCCAATTCTAACGAGCAGCGATTTCAAGCGACGCTTGTCATTTGTGCCGGCAGGGCTCGTGACGATGCTCATTCTGCAGGCCTAAATCGGCGCCGCCAACGACCTCGGCCGTGCACGACCCTGGACTGCTCGTCTCAACCACATTTCAACTTCGCTGCAAATGGAGGCGGAGCGCACCCACGCACGCGCGCACACGCACCCACGCACGCCAGCGCGTACGCAGCCCTCCGATCAACCTTCCCGAGCACCCATCGCCAAGCTCACAGGTTGACTCGTGGGGCTCGGCGAGCCGAGCCGGTGGCCTTAGCGCAGCGTGCGTTCGTCGCTTAGCAGATAACAAAAAAACACACAATCGTACCGACCACCAGTGCCGCACGTGCGTTGCTCGGGGGACCGAGCGCCGGTGAAGTCCGCCGTTCGCTTTCGCCGTCCCGTGGCGCGGTGTTTACGTGGAGCGAGGACGCCAAGTTTCTCCCTCGTGGTCAAGCACTTGGGCCGCTTTCACTGAACTCCTTCGCGAGCACTCAAGTTCACGTTTCTCCCCGCCTGCTGCTGACCCCCCACCAAGCTCTGTGGGACGCAGCAGCAGCGTCGTCGTCGACACGAAGCACAAGCGCTGCATATCGCACTGGCGCTGCTGTTGTTTGTGTGTGTGATGTGTAAACGCTAACAGACCACAGCCGTCCACATGCACATCACTTTTACCAGGGCTCTTTTCGCGAAAGTAAATCCTTAAGGGCATTGCCGCGTCAAGTCATTGAAGGGAAACAATATAAATATGTATATAATTATCACGTAACCATCTTCCTATTTAAAAAGTTGATGCAAGGCTCCTCAATGCATGCTTTTTAGGATACCATATGCCTTCGGGGCAATAACTCTGGGCCAAATCGAATAAAAGGCATTAACCAGGATGTACAACAACAGCAAAAACTACAATTTTGATTCAGCTAGCATTTCCATGTAACCACCATGCTACAAACACAGTGCATAAACGGTGTAAAAAAAATATTTCATGGACGGAAAAAAAAGTGCATAATACCTTGTATACATATCTGCCAACGTTAAGTTAAAAACACAAATCTAAACCTCTCTTGTCCCGACACCCACGGAAGCTGCATTAGAGGGCTTTCGGCGCGTCCTGCGGCAGTGAGGGTCTGCACTCGGGGGGGACCTGTCTCGAGCCGTGGCTCCAGAAACGCCATCGCGGCGACGAGGAGGAGGAAGAGGCCTCGCGAGTCCTCCGTGTTGCTCAACGGTTGTCCGGAGAACGGGGCGAGCAGTCCGCCCCATCCCGCGTGAGTCCTCCCCCCGCATGCGCCATGTGCAGGGAGCAAAACGACCGCAGCCCGTGCGCTGCCGCCTGCCACTGGGGCGTGGATTTTCTTTTCTTTCTTTTTTAAACGGAGACCTCCGACGCCCGACGTGCCACAGTTGGTTTACCCTGCCACTCTGCCGCCGACGCCGCGAGAATGCACGGGAGAAAAAAAATGTACAAACTTTCCTTCAAAGTGTGAAGTTGTCACAGACTACGCATCTCCCTGAGTGACAGAACATGCTGTGTGTGCTATAATAATGTACAGCACCTTTGCCAAGCCACTGCTGGATGAAGTCCTCCCAATGCCGTGTGTTTGATCCTGTCGTGTTTGACCATACTTTACCACACTGGTCAGTGCGGTTTTGGTGAATGTGAACGCAGTGTATTAAAAATGTTTTTTTTTTTTTTATCTCTTGCCTTGCACGCCCGCACGGAGTCTGACGCGAGTGTGATCGTGTGTGGCGTTTTGAAACAATGCAGTTGACTCTGCAACTCAATGTCTTGTTAAGTTTACAATCGCTTGTATTTGTGTATTTTTGTTGTCGTTGTGAAACTTAGCCTTGATTTATCAGTCGTTATTTTATCATAGAGGACCTTGTTTAAAGTTACATTAGCTGCCTGTGTGTTCAAAACTACAATACGCAATACCGACATGCAGGTCTCGAAGTATTTGAACTGTTCCGTTTACATTGCCTTTTATTGTATTTTTATTAAGAATTTCCACCTAATTTACATTCACTGTAAATATTCAAATTCTTCGAAGTAGCAGGGCATTGCAACGTAGGGATTGCTATTGACTTGAAAAGTTCCATATCAAATCATGTAAATTATACAAATTCACACGCAGTATGAGTATGTAACATTACTCTTTGGCCATGTAAGCAGTTACAACATTAAAACTGAATAAGAAATATCTGTAACGCCGTACATTTTATACGTGATTGTATCCTAACCACTGATACTCTTTAAAGATGGGCTGCCAATTTTTTTCACAAATTGTAACAACTTGCAATGAAACATAGAACTCAAATAAAGACACCCCATAACACGTGTGTTGCATGAATTATGCAGTATTTTTTATTACGCACGTTTACCCAGGACCCTTTGAGTCTCAAAACTCTTTCAACAGTCCGACCAAGTATTTGCTGTTGGAGCCAAGTTGCTATATACAATTCAAATTGAGTAATTTGCAGGTGATTTTCCAGCTTTGGGATTTTTGGCCAATTCAAGTTATAGTGTACGCCCTTTTTACTGGTAGGAACCTCCTGGTTCCACCAGCCCACAGGGGACTATTGTGTCCGTCCGTCATGCATCCAAAAATGGGAGGGGTGAGGCTGGGTGGAGAGGGGAGGGTGGGGAGGGGCTGGGTGGGGCTGGGTGGGGAGGGGCTGGGGAGTGGAGGGTGGGGCTGGGTGGGGGGTGGGAGGGGTGGGAGGGGTGGGGGGTGGGGCTGGGTGGGGAGGGGCTGGTCACCCCGTGGTGCCCTTATATCAACGTTTAACCTACTCACGCCGGCTTGTGCCCACCCTCACAGTCGGGCATATTTGCGGAATACACCACGCCGCCGTTGACCCTGGCCATTGACCGAGCAACCCAACGTTCCTACCAGCTCCCTCCGCAGCAGGATTGTGTTTATGTACGAGAGGAAACCGGAGAGACCGGTGAAAATTCATGCAGAACAGGGGAAGAACATACTCCATATCGAAAGGCAGCTGAGCCAGAAATCGAACCTAGGTCCTTGCTGTTTGACACTATGCATTATCACTGTCATCCTGTTCATATATACGATGCATATTCATTGTTCACTCCTTTCCCCAAATTCAGGTACTGTCACAATTCAGGGTCACGATTTGATTCAAGGAACAATTTTTTTTGTTGCCCCAATTTGTATCTTCTCATTTGTATTTTGTCTCGAGTTCCTTGTTATTCTGTCGCGATTGTTCCACATCGCGCATTCATTTCTTCGCAGGTTCTTACGCGCACAATCGATCCATAATCAACCTTAACTGAAGAATCGTTACGTACTTATTGCGTATGCACCAGCGGCAATGCTGGCTGTGCCCACTCAGGGCGTAAGTCAACGGGGACACGTCACGAGATGACAAAACTTACATTCACAATTCCACAGACAGCAGTGCACCTCCCTGCACGAGAACAGCTTCTGGAAGATGACACCACAATACATTCAGAGGCAATGCACCTCACATGCTTCTGCTATAGGTGTTAATCACACGGAAAATTAGTTTTTAGGCCTTGGTGCTGGTATAAGGCAACGTGACCAAACCAAATGTAATCATGTTTTTTCTTTCGTGCAGTCTGCTGACAAGACTAAGACCATCAACTCAATTCACTTGAGAACGCAGTTGAACCCAGAATTGCGGCGCTACCGGTCCAGCACTCTGAGTGGTGTTGGGCCCCCTGAGTTACCCAGCCACCTTTGCGTTTCTGCACTTCGCTGCTTTTGCTGGCTTGCCCCGCATCGTCCATGGGCCACAGCTGAAATTGGTACCACCGAAGGTAGCGCAATCTGAGTAGCACCGGTGTAGTTACATGGCTAATAAGAGTGAATTATTTGATAACCCCCACTCATTTCAAATGGTGATCATGTATAACGCTGGTCAACAAAAGAAAAAAAAAATTCTGGCCTGGACTTTTGCAGCTGTTTTAGACTAATTTCAGGGTGCTGATTCCAAATGTGATCTCAGATTTGCTCCATCACATCTCATTTTTATGCTATCGGCATACCCTATTTTCATTGATTTTACCCGAAATTAACTGTCACTTATGATTGCAAGTTGTTGCGAGTCAGTGACTGCTTTAGTGTTAAAATATGGTGCTGTATTTTTAGGTTAGTGTGTCTATAATATCATTTTATGTAGATATCCACATTTATTTAATATTTTTCTTTTGCAGTTTTTATTGAAAATGCAATATTTGATATCTCAAAAAACGTGATAAACAAATATTCTTAGGTTTTTTCGGTAAAGTCACGTAGGTAAAACATCAAAATTAATAAAAATTAAATAAAATAAAGATCACGTTTCGGAGGCAACACAAGTCTCCGTCATCAGGTGGGACCGTCACAGCCAGATTAGCTGATCTTGATGCAGCTAATCTGGCTGTGACGGTCCCACCTGATGACGGAGACTTGTGTTGCCTCCGAAACGTCGTGATCTTTATTTTATTTTTATTAATTTTGATGTTTTACCTACGTGACTTTACCGAAAAAACCTAAGAATATGAATCCTTGCAGTCACGAAAGCTTCAAATCTAGTGATAAACAAATACTGATGCCAGATTTTGAATCGGCACCCCAAAATTACCTTAAAACCGTTGGAATACCTTATGCCAGAAAAAGTGTGTTGACCAGTGTAATCCACTGCTTTTGGCCACATACAGAAATTGTAACCGCGAAAGTGATGCCACCTCAGGTAGTACCGACAGGTGAGATGCCCCACCGGCTGGGATCATGGACTTGCGGCAGGGATACATATGTCTTTCATCACAAGTGGACACTGCAACCTGGTGTTGTGAAGCTGCATGGAAACACGTGAATTATGGTTAAGGACATGGGCCAGTCATCTTCTTGGTTCTTTCGGTAAAGTCACGTAGAATGGAAATAATAAAATAATAAAAATAAAACATAATAAAATAATTCTCACGACGTTTCAGTCACAACGCAAGCAGCCGTCCTCAGGTGGAGAACAGGTCGGCTGCTTGCGTTGTGGCTGAAACGTCGTGAGAATTTTATTATGTTTTATTATTATTATTTTATTATTTCCATTCTACGTGACTTTACCGAAAGAACCAAGAACATGAATCCCTGCAGTCACGAAAGCTTTAAATCAAAATTTAACTGACATGGCCAGTATTTCAAGGAAAGTCTTCATCCGTGAGAGTGTTTTATGGGGCCACACATCCTGCTGGTGATATCAAGAGCAAGTCAAAACCAGTACTGGAAAATGTTGGTCTGACAGGTCTTAGATGTTATTATATTCTAGCTATAAAACAATATCCCTTGTTAATTTTTTCATCCATGAGTTATTTGTACTGCATTGCAATGTGACCAGTGGTCTAAACCATGGTTTTCACAAGGAGTGCACTTACAATGGCTGGGCATTGCTTGATGTAAATATATATACATATTGCTAGGTTTTTCCATATTGCAAATGTTCAGCCATTCACCCTGATCCACTATCAAAAATGAATAGTTAAAACGTAAATTGTAAACTGTAGTCGTAGGAAAATTGACAGAAGATGAAAGTTATTTTTTTTAATAGTTCATTGTTCTGAGCTTCACACAAAAATGTAAATATAACACTGCAACTTTAGGTCGTCCGTTTTGTAAAATTTGTTCACATTCAGACTGTGTTGTGACACCATCGATGAACATCAATCCGCTGGAGTCGAGGCAGGTGATCAAATCTTCACGTTATCACCACCTACAGCAACATCCTCTTCACACCTGGCCACCTATTTTGGTTGGCCTCTCAACACACTGGATGCTTTAAGTGTTTTAAAATGCAGCTCGCAAAATGTCTGAAAGGACAGCTACCACCGTGTCGCAGAAACGACCTTCATATTTGCTCGCATGATGAGTCCCTGTAGTTTTAGCCCATGATGATCTGCCACGAGAATAAGTATCGTTTGTAGGCCTCAAGTGGTCGCGGGGCTGTCATGGGTCGGTTCTGGCCCTTGGGGCCTCTGGTTTCCCACAAAAGCCTTTAGCCAAATTCACCGAGGAGACAGCCGTGCCAGGCTCAGCCAAAAGGCACCACCGGCTCCTCCCATTTACCGTCGCCGTCGTTATTCCCAGCCAGCAGCTCCGCCAGGTACGCGCGGAGCTCCCGGGCCGCCTGCACCCTCCTCTCGCCGGGCCTCTCTGCGGCCCTGAGGCCGGGACGGCCCCTCGGGTCAGCGCAGCGTTCCACGAGCCGGACCAGGCGGCCGTTGGAGGCGACGGCGCGCGGGGCCGAGTGGAGGAGCCCGCCGCGGCGGCCACGCCAGAGCGAGCGTGGCGACAGCAGGCTGCGGCACACGGCGTAGAAGTTGTGGTCGTGGTGCGCGCGCGTGCATAGCGCGTCGCGCGAGAACGACAGGCAGCCCTCGCAGGCGCCGTCCGGCGGGGACGAGTCCATGGCGACAAGGTTGGGGCCGCCGCCGGCGCCGCCGACTTCGCCGTCGTCGCTGTCCTCGCTGCCGCTCTCGTACCACTTGTCCCAGCCGTCGGGTTTTTCTGCACACCGTGGATACGTGTGTGTGTGTATGAGTTACTATATGGGGAGCGGTGGTGTAGCGGTCAGCGCGCTGCACTACGAACCTGGCGACCCGGGTTCGATTCCCACTCACGGCAAACACCAGTGACGATTATCTGAACTGGTCCTGGGACTCCCCTAGGTCGACTCAGCCTCAAATGAGTACCTGGTGCGGTGTGTAAACATCGCCGCTAGGGAAACAAAGGCGGTCGAGCGTGGTGCTGGACACCCACCCCCTCGTGTACCGTTCCGGCCTTCATAGGTGCTCGCTAACAGCACTTGCCCCTACAGTCTGTTAAGGCTATACGGGAGATCTTTGTTTTTGAACTTTGAGTTACTATATTATTTTAGCTATCTGGCGCTTGGTCAAAAGTGACCGGCCACACATGATAGCTCAACAAAGCGGGTGATGTGGAAATGCATAGCAGCCAAATACTCTAAGCGCATGTTTATAAATGTGGAGGGAAAAATCCACGCGACCACGAGGAAAACATGCAAACTCTAAATATACATCCAAATACATCCATAATAATATACAGGCGTCAGGGTTGGGATCGAACCTCTGACATCCTGTATACAAGGCGAGGTCGCCACCATGTCGCCCCTAGAGTTACATCGCATGCACAAACTTAGTAATGTATACAAGCCCTGCCCTCCACCTGCTAGACATCTCCCACCATTTAGCCACCTCTAGAAATCTTGCTGCATCCGAGCCCCCGTCAGATCTCAACAACCAGGGCCCACGCCCTGACCCTGCACCCCCGGCAGACGGTGCTCACCCTGCCGCAAGGCTCGCTTGTCCACCACGAGCACGTTCTCGGCGTCCACCAGCACGACGCGGCCGTCGCGCTCGCCCACTGCGAAGTTGTCGGGCGTGACGTCGAGGGGGTAGAGCGCGTAGTCCAGGTCGTTGTCGCTGAGCTGCGAGGCGAGGTCCAGGAGCTGCGCGGCCAGATCGGCACGGCGTCGCCACGGCGCGTCCCACAGCTCCCAGAGCGTGGGCCCCACCAGGGCCTCGACCACGAGACGGCCGCATGCGCCGTGGTATTTGGGGAAGGGCCAGCCCTCGTCCGCCGGGAAGCTCTGAGAGAGAGAATAAAAAAACGAGGAAAATCATGGATACGAGTGGATTCTGTATCGCTTTCCAAAATGCGTTCGTTCCTTGGAAATGCTTCAGTTGGAGATAAAAACGAGAGCGCTTCCATCAGGCGCACAGGATGCACTTTGTCCGTAGTCCACAATGAGACAACGGGGATCGGACAGTGGCCCTGTCAGTAAGCCGCGAGCAACCATTTGAAACATTTTTACCAGTTTTCTGCAGAATAAGTCCCTAATAGCAAAACAGATTTATACGCAAGTTTAATTTATACTGGATCATCATTGTGAGCTATCGTAACCAGCCTTAGTTGGCGAGTGTAAAACAAAGTCGGGAAGGGTATTTAAATATGCAAATACAATCAAAATCAAATGTCTAGGGTGATGGGGAGGGGACATGGATGACCCCGATAACATAAAAACAAGCAAGATACAAAATAATATTTATTAAATGATAGGAAAAGAGATTACAGATCACTTGAAGGGATCACAGTCATTCTACCTTATTCCGAGGGTTATACATTTTCTCCGAGAGATTTGAATGGATTCTTCATCTCACGACATGACACATGGCATGTGTATATGCAGGGATGAAGGACTTCCCATGCTCAGTGCGAGTTGCTGAAGGCATGGCTCACAGACACGAGAGAATAACCATATTCTTAGGTTTTTTCGGTAAAGTCACGTAGATAAAAAAGAAAAATTAATAAAAGTAAAAGAAAAAAGAAAAATTAAATAAAAATATTATTATTATTTTGCTTTATTTTTTTATTTTTTTTATTTTACTTTTATTAATTTTAATTTTTTACCTACGTGACTTTACCGAAAAAACCTAAGAATATGAATCCTTGCAGTCACGAAAGCTTCAAATCTAGAGAATAACCAGTTCAATATATTTTGCTGCACTGGAGGGGAGGGATTGCCGGCATGTGACGCCACTCGCCTGCAGCACGAGCGGCTCGGGGTTGAAGCGCAGCGTCAGCAGCAGCTGCGCCTGCTCGCCCTCGTGCAGGTGGCTCAGCAGCACGCTGCCCGAGTCGCGAGCCTCCGCGTAGCGACGCACCACGCGGTCCAGCAGGCGCTGGGACGGGCAGCGCACCATGTCCGACCAGCCCGCCACCATCGCCGGCGTCAGCAGTCGCGGCACCACCGCCTGCTGCTGCTGCTGTTGGAGAGGTGGACCTGCCTGTTGAACTTGTATTAAGTTCTGATTCAGCAGCTGCTGCTGTTCAAGTTGCGTCAGCTGCTCTATTTTATTCTGTACCGGGTTGTCAATTAGATTCTGCCCCGGCCGGTGTTGATCGTTGGGGCTCGAGTGCTGCACCTGCCGTGGACCCGAGTGGCTGTCGCCCCCCAGCATGGCCTGGTGGAAAGGCTCCCAGTGCAGCATGGCCAAAGCTGGGTGGCAAGGTGTCACTGCGTCACTGCCGCCGCTGCCCATCGCAGCATCCCGACAGATGTCGTGGTCCAAGGCCGCCAGCTCCGAGGCGCTGCCCAAGCGTTTCAGTACCACAGCCTTGCGGCCTTCTCGCGGGTCGTCATAGTGGCCAAAGTACACCTGGGGATTGGGGGCAACGATCACGTGGTTACCATCTGACGGCTTTGCTTGGTCGTCATGAGCATCGTCATCAACCACGAACTGTCCACTGCTGGATTAAGGCCTCCTTCACGGTCTCACTAGACAACAATCCGTCAAGATCCTCTACTTGAGCTGGATCAATGTTATCCAGGAGCACGTGTTGTCGCGATATAAGTTTCACAATACAATACCCTACGATATCAAATTTCACGGTATCAAGATTATTACAATGTAAGTATTGTGTAATTTAGTAATTGTACTTGACATTGTTAGTGTATTGTGGTTGTGCTTTTCTGTACTTCCGGTAAAAATGAACATTACTTACAAGTTCTTAAATGCAGCTTGCTCAACACGAGTGTACCATATATCTTTTCAAAATTTTAACTTTACAATGTCTTCCTCTTTAGGTACCGTCTGTCTACTCAGAAGCGATGATGAAGAAAGTCCCTCCATGGCGGTCAGTCGTCTTCCAATTTCACGGCTTCATTCATTGCCAATCCTTTACAATATATAACACGGATGTTGAGCACAGGCCCAGAGTCCCAAAACATAAAGCGACCGGTAATGAACTGCATTCCTAAGCTTGTAATGCGATTATAATGAACTCCTTTCTTGAATTGAGCAAGGTTATTGTAAGAGCTTGGGGAAACAGACGACGGGAGGGAATACGCACAACACGGGCAGAGGAATCGATGAGAGAAGTCACGAAAAAAATTTACCATGTCAGTGGCGATAAAAGGGTGAAAAGGGTTATACTGCCAACTACATTTTTTCTTTTTCCACCACATGACGACGAAATGAAGTCGCGAGCCAATACAGGGTCCTAATTCTAGATTTGAAGCTTTCGTGACTGCAAGGATTCATACTCTTAGGTTTTTTCGGTAAAGTCACGTACCGAAAAAACCTAAGAGTATACATCACAGGGTCCTCACCCCTGGTCCTAAAAATTCTACCTAAAACCACCGGCACGGGGCACGCTCCACACAAACCGACCTGCTTGACGTTGACAAAATCCAAGAAGCGCAGACGGTGCCACGAGTCGAGCACGAGCTGCCCGGCCGAGAACTTGCGGCACCAGCTGACGCCGAAGCATGCAGGGCACGCGTCGGCGCCCACGAAGCGCCGCTCCTTCAAGGGGTTGCCCAGCAGCAGCGGCAGAGCCAGCGACGGAGGCAGCAGCGCCGGGGCGAGGGCCAGCAGCGCCACGACCAGCAGCGCCAACGCCAGGCAGAGGCGCACGGCGCGCCGCTGCCGCTTGCCGGCTAGACGCGGGGACCAGCTCATGCCCGCCGACTTGCTGGTGTGTGTGTGTGTATGTGTACGTACGTCGGTCAGTCGACCCGTGGCACCTGGGTCTGCCCCGTGACCTCCTGCCGGCGGGCGTTCGACACTTCACGTGGCCTCAAGGTGCACATGGCCTGGCACAAGCGTCGTGGTGACGTCACCGCCACTTAGTGGTGAATGGCGGTTGTTGTTGTTATACGTCGTAGGTCTAGCTGCACGTACGTCGTGTGTTTTTCCAGCAGCAGCCCGCCGAGAGAAGTTGAACTGTGGGAACACGCAGAGGGAGAAGTGGCGTGTTATGTATATCCATGTTGAACTTCTTTTTCATACCGTACGCAGACGACCGTGCTAATCGGAGGTTCTGGGGAAGGACGACAAAATTAACACAAAAAGCGGTTCTAATGAAATGAGTTTTCAATGTAGATTTTAAAAAAATGGCATAGCCCTTAGCAGCTTCCTTATATCGGAAGACATCATTGTCAGCCATGATCAATCCACTGCTGGATGAAGGCCTCTGCAAGGCATCGCCATGTCCAGCACGGTCCTGTGATGTATAGCAAGCTGGTGCACTGGAGCCAGATGTATGAGAGATGCAAATGCGAAGTGGTTAATTGCCACGACGAACTCCGCAGTTCTCACTCCACCACGAGTCAACCTCACTACGAGTCAACCTCCCTCCACCTCGACTCCACCACGAATCAACCTCACTCCACCACGAGTCAACCTCCCTCCACCTCACTCCACCACGAGTCCACCTCCCTCCTCACTCCACCTCGAGTCCACCACGAGTCAACCTCACTCCACCACGAGTCCACCTCACTCCACCACGAGTCAACCACACTCCACCTCACTCCACCTCTAATCAACCTCCCTCCACCACACTCCACCTTATTCCACCACACTCCACCGCACTCCACCACGAATCAACCTCACTCCACCACACTCCACCACGAGTCAACCACACTCCACCTCGAATCAACCTCCCTCCACCACACTCCACCTCACTCCACCACACTCCACCACGAGTCAACCACACTCCACCACACTCCACCTCGAATCAACCTCCCTCCACCACACTCCACCTCACTCCACCACACTCCACCTCACTCCACCACGAGTCAACCTCCCTCCACCACACTCCACCTCACTCCACCACGAGTCAACCACACTCCACCACACTCCACCTCACTCCACCACACTCCACCTCACTCCACCTCACTCCACCACGAGTCAACCTCACTACGAGTCAACCTCCCTCCACCTCGACTCCACCACGAATCAACCTCACTCCACCACGAGTCAACCTCCCTCCACCTCACTCCACCACGAGTCCACCTCCCTCCTCCTCACTCCACCTCGAGTCCACCACGAGTCAACCTCACTCCACCACGAGTCCACCTCACTCCACCACGAGTCAACCACACTCCACCTCACTCCACCTCTAATCAACCTCCCTCCACCACACTCCACCTTATTCCACCACACTCCACCGCACTCCACCACGAATCAACCTCACTCCACCACACTCCACCACGAGTCAACCACACTCCACCTCGAATCAACCTCCCTCCACCACACTCCACCTCACTCCACCACACTCCACCACGAGTCAACCACACTCCACCACACTCCACCTCGAATCAACCTCCCTCCACCACACTCCACCTCACTCCACCACACTCCACCTCACTCCACCACGAGTCAACCTCCCTCCACCACACTCCACCTCACTCCACCACGAGTCAACCACACTCCACCACACTCCACCTCACTCCACCACACTCCACCTCACTCCACCTCACTCCACCACGAGTCAACCTCACTACGAGTCAACCTCCCTCCACCTCGACTCCACCACGAATCAACCTCACTCCACCACGAGTCAACCTCCCTCCACCTCACTCCACCACGAGTCCACCTCCCTCCTCCTCACTCCACCTCGAGTCCACCACGAGTCAACCTCACTCCACCACGAGTCAACCTCACTCCACCACGAGTCCACCTCACTCCACCACGAGTCAACCTCCCTCCACCTCACTCCACCACGAGTCAACCACACTCCACCTCACTCCACCTCTAATCAACCTCCCTCCACCACACTCCACCTTATTCCACCACACTCCACCGCACTCCACCACGAATCAACCTCACTCCACCACACTCCACCACGAGTCAACCACACTCCACCTCGAATCAACCTCCCTCCACCACACTCCACCTCACTCCACCACACTCCACCACGAGTCAACCACACTCCACCACACTCCACCTCGAATCAACCTCCCTCCACCACACTCCACCTCACTCCACCACACTCCACCTCACTCCACCACGAGTCAACCTCCCTCCACCACACTCCACCTCACTCCACCACGAGTCAACCACACTCCACCACACTCCACCTCACTCCACCACACTCCACCTCACTCCACCTCACTCCACCACGAGTCAACCTCACTACGAGTCAACCTCCCTCCACCTCGACTCCACCACGAATCAACCTCACTCCACCACGAGTCAACCTCCCTCCACCTCACTCCACCACGAGTCCACCTCCCTCCTCCTCACTCCACCTCGAGTCCACCACGAGTCAACCTCACTCCACCACGAGTCCACCTCACTCCACCACGAGTCAACCACACTCCACCTCACTCCACCTCTAATCAACCTCCCTCCACCACACTCCACCTTATTCCACCACACTCCACCGCACTCCACCACGAATCAACCTCACTCCACCACACTCCACCACGAGTCAACCACACTCCACCTCGAATCAACCTCCCTCCACCACACTCCACCTCACTCCACCACACTCCACCACGAGTCAACCACACTCCACCACACTCCACCTCGAATCAACCTCCCTCCACCACACTCCACCTCACTCCACCACACTCCACCTCACTCCACCACGAGTCAACCTCCCTCCACCACACTCCACCTCACTCCACCACGAGTCAACCACACTCCACCACACTCCACCTCACTCCACCACACTCCACCTCACTCCACCACACTCCACCTCACTCCACCTCACTCCACCTCGTGGCCACACTCCAGCACTGTCTCTATATTGCGAACAGCTGCCCATGACATCTGCAACACGCGCGCACACAAACCACCGCACAGCGTTTGTCAAGGCGCTGCTGGATGAAAATCTCCCACATGCGGTGCAGGTCGTAGGGGTTATATGACCATACTTCACCACGCTGGTTAGTGCGGGCTGGTGAAGTATGATGATGCTTCTGCACTGCCCACAAGAGTAGGCAGCGAATGCGGTTTAATGCGCTTGGCGCGTGTCTGAAGTCGTCTGGAGTTCGAGTACGCACACTCGGCCGAAGCCTCCCGTCTTTCCTAGAAGCCCTACCGGGAGAGAGGCGAGGTGACCCCGCCGGCTTCGCTTGACCGCGACGGTTCCAGCCTCCAGGTCTTGGCAGATATTAAAAAAAAATTTTTTTAACAGGAATAAAAACGAGCACTCTGCAACTTAAAACACACAAAGACGGTTTCGACACGCGGGATTCGTTCGTGAAACGACGCTTAGCGACAAAAAAAGACGATTTTTTAAATAGAAATTCCCAACCGCGCTGTGCAGCTGAGGATGCCGTGGAACCGGTTCCACCGTTACATTCAATGGGAACCGGATCCCGGGTAGCGGAGTTCGCTTGAGGAACCGGTTCCGATGCTCGGAGATTACCGCCCCCCCCTCTCTCTCTGATTATTTATTTATTTGTCTATCCCGAGGTCAGATGATTGCATTGCACCATTAAGCAATTGGTAATTAAATATAATATTTTTGTCCTAAAAAGTGTCAAATTTTGGAATTTGTTTTCACGAACATTAATTGTCACGCACAACGAGTCTGTGTGGAAAATGTCAGCTCGATTGGATCACGGGAAGTGGGTTAAAAAACGACCGAAAGATTTGTACGGTCGTAAGCAAGCAAGCGAACTTAATATAAATGATTTAAAAACGTGTCTTTTTGTTTGTGTTTCTCCCTTGTGATGGGACTTTGTAGGATGAATGTTGATATTTATAAGGGTACATGGTGACCAATAAGGTCTGAATTGGTCTGTAATACGGTAGGGCACTGATAAGGGGTTGACAGGTATGCAGACCCAGGTGCCATGGGTTGACTGCTGTGTCAGGCTAGATGCAGGAGGAGGTCACGGGACAGACTCAGGTGCCATGAGTTGATTTCTGTGCCAGGCTAGGTGCAGGAGGTCACGGGACAGACTCAGGTGCCATGAGTCTTGAGACCCGGCAAAGCTTTCCTGGCTAAACAAGTTTATGTAACGCAAATGACGTGAGACCCCTGCAGCCACTAGAGGTCGCTATACCACCAAGCACAAATTAGAAAACCACCACATTTGTTGTTAAGCACGCATCTGTTTTACAACGGAACAGAAAGCCATGAAGAGGATGACAAAGGTCAGAGGGTTTGACTTGGTCACTTTCACTTTTACACGGCGGGGCACCACGATATAACTGGAAATGTTAAGGCAGTTGATGAATTAACTTCTGGTTGCCACCTCTGACAATAAAATCGGGAGACATCTTGAGCGATCTACATGTAAATGCATCGTCTTGAGTTGGTGGTTTAATATTACCGTACCGACTGTGGAGGTTTGCGGTTCAAACACTGGCAGGAGGCCCTGATTGACACTGTGGGTGTATTAACCACGCGGTGGATGTGAGACATCCCGTGACATGATTTGAAGAAGACTCGGCTGCTATGTGCTGGCGTTATGATCCCAAAATTTAAACAACAACAACCACAACCAATCAAGAACATTACTCGCAAATTACTTAACTGGGAAATACAGTAAATTATTGCCCCTTAATGCAAATAAAGCTTTGGCAGGACCCTCCTGAAAATTATTGAGACTCAGTGGGGCTTGAGTCATAGCAACCATGCAAGAATTGGGACTATTCCTGTGCTAGGAAGATTTACATAATTCCCAGGACACCTTCCTCGACGAATGGTCCTGTGACCACCAGGACAGGTGAAAACTCCGACAATCAACGGTTTGAACTGACATATTAACGATTGCCCAGAAGTAGACATGAGAGAATTTCCACTTTTTTCAGAGCGACGCTCACGTACCCCGAAAAAATAATTGGGGGAGGAAATTATCGAGAAAACATTGGCTTTCGAAGCCTATGTGCGTCTCCCGCCAAGCTCAATATACTCGCGAAATATTTTAGCACTCTGGTCTGTCAGCTATGGAGCCATGGCTATTATAAAATCCAATAAGCTATGCAGAAGACAGAAACGGAGCATTAGGAATCGGTGGGTTGTCTATAAATGGATCGCCCTGGGTTGCAAACACTTGTATTTTTTATCATAGTTCCTGAGCTCAGGCCCAAAACGCTAAGTGGCCAGTAACAAACAGCACTATCGAAGGTGTCATAAATACCACAAAAAAATGTAGTGGCAATTGCCCTACGGTCCGCTGCCTGCATAGGAATGTGTCATTTCCACCACTGGCTCAGTATGTCCAATATGGATGAGCAAGAGATTAGTGAGTGGGTTGCTGTCACAACTCAAAAAAAATGAAAGCGATGAAAATAAATGCCCGCGAGCAAATATATAGTAGTCTGGTGGAATTGATTGGACAGGAAGACAGATTACGGACACGCGGCCTTCATGCCATGGTGTTTAGTAGGAGTGGCACAACGCTTTGTTAATCCACTGCTGGATGAAGGTCTCCCGTGACTGTACAGGTCACACGGGTTATTTGATCAAATTATACCACGCCAGTCAATGCGGGTTGGTGGTGAAGGCAGCGAGCATAGACGCGGGACCATAGAATTACAGCACAATAATGTCGTTTTCTGTACTGTCCTCTGTTACCCAAAAAATAGCTCCCGCCGCCGAAAACGCCTGTTATCTTATTGTTCTTTCGGTAAAGTCACGTAGAATGGAAATAATAAAATAATAAAAATAAAACATAATAAAATAATTCTCACGACGTTTCGGCCACAGCGCAAGCAGCCGTCCTCAGGTGGAGAACAGGTATGTCGAGGAGGCAGAGTCTAAAACGTCGTGAGAATTATTTTATTATGTTTTATTTTCATTATTTTATTATTTCCATTCTACGTGACTTTACCGAAAGAACCAAGAAGATGAATCCCTGCAGTCACGAAAGCTTTAAATCGAAACGCCTGTTATGCATGGCGGTCGCCTATCATAATTGCTGAATAGTGACTCTCACCGCCTATACACCAGGCGTGGGGACCTACCTGGCTTGCTGAGGGCCCAATAGAACTTCCAAACAACTTGTGTGGCTCACACATGAGTGTGATCTGCAGTCACTTCTGTCAGCGCTCTTGTAACTTGCTGACCCGCCCATACTGGACCTCTGTGAAAAAGAGCTTCATGGCTCATCGGATTCATCCAGCCTTCATGAAGACTCTGATTCAGTGCAAGAGGGCCCTTGCAGTGGCAGTAGTGACTGAGCTCGCTACAGCTACAACACAGTGCTGTTTCCAGGTGGAAATAAAACTCATGTTATTGGCTCCAAAAGTCAGGAACCGGCAATTGTTTACAGTGGAATTGTGGTCATGCATGCACTGATTGGCACGCGTGAACGAACACGCATCATGGTGGCATTAGTCACTACCTTAATTGATCACTTCAAAATGGTAAAACTTACAATTATTGATCTAGACGTTTCTATACATTGCAGAAAACCGGTAACCCGGTTTTGACCGTTTTTTTCACGCTATCAGTAACGCTAAAACATATTTTAGTAACCCCACTCTAGTACCCAATTCGTGTGGCTAAGATCCTTAAAGTAAAGGATAAATATGGGGAGCGAGATACTAACTCCCTCGGCTGGTATGCAGGAGGTCGTTGGTTCGATCTCGATCCTAACGCATGGATAGTTGGAGTGTGCGTGCTCTCCCCGTGTTCTAATGGATTTTCCTCCGGGTCCTCCGGTTTTTCCCTCCACATGGACATGCGTTTAGAGTATTTAACTCCTATGCATTTCCACATAAGCCGCTTTGTTGCGCTATCATTTGTGGCCAGGTCACTTCTGAAAAAGAGCTAGGGTATATCGCTCAGTGGGCCTTACCTGGTAAAAATAAAAAAATAAAATAGTCAAACTATATTTATACTGTAGTGGTAGGCCTCACGTGGCCGAGGGCTCTATGAAGTGATGTCACCGTCTATAGGTTCCCCACTCCTGGCTCGAACGTGCTTACGTACATCGCGCGGAGTGTCACCTTTTTAGGAAGTGACGGCTCGTTTCGGCGCTCAATGTCAGGGTGTGTCCTCTAAGCGTCACCTGTTACCGCATTGCTGAAGAGGGCCGCAGCGCAGATCTGTGTACAGAAAAGCCCTCGGGCGACAACCAATAACCAAAGGAGCAAAACAGAACCAAAAGCGTCAACAAGAGCATCTCGTTTGCATCGATGCAACCAAACCGAAACATCGCAGCATACAAAAAAACGTGCAAAACAGCGGCAAGGCGAATTCCATTCGGTGACACTGTATTTTTCAATCGGAGAAATGGCAATCACAGTGAGTTTTTTTTAAAATGCCTTTTGAGTGCGAGGTACAAAAAAAATCCCAGAGACTGTGGGTTTGCTCTCAGCTTCTCCCTCCCCTCCCCCGGTTTCTGTGCCCACGTGAATGAGGTGGTCAAAGCGAAGGCCAAAGGACGTCTTGCTCAAATGAGCATCGAAGTGGTGCCCATCTCCCGTTAACAGCCCCTCAGCCAGCGGTAGAAATTCTACGTTCCTATTGCCGGGGCGAATTTGTCCATAGGACACCCATTGTTGATATCCCTACAAAGTGGAACCTATTTTTTTCGTCTTCGGACGGATGATGGGCTGAATCAACTCCTCGACCAGGATTTGAACTCTCAACCTTTCCGATTGCAAAGCCGCTCGCTATCTACCGCTGAGCCACGTGAATGTCATTGGTTAGCTTCTATTTCGTAACTTCATCTAGGCATTGCTAGAATAAAAAAAAACACCGGATTAAAAAATATATAGCGGAACGTGATTTTTTTAAGGTAAAAAAAAATTGCCTGGAGCTTTTTGAAAGAGAAATGAGCGGCCTTTCTATCTAAACATCAAGGAAGAAAATGAAAGCCTTTCACCAAGATTAAAGTGAGGTCCCGTGGCTTTAGTGCTGAGTTGCTTGCCTTAATTGACGCTTCACGGCTTCAACCACCGTTCAATCCCTCCACCAGGCAGTATGGGTGATTGATACGAGGGCAAGTTTATAACACGAATTAGCAGCAATCCCACACGTCACATCCAATCCTGCCCGCACGTCGAGTCAATTTGTGGATACTACTCCGTGGTTGTTCGCGGTTGTGCTGCTGTTCAGCTCTCCCATGTGTTTGTGTGTTTGTGTGGGGGGGGGGGGTGTTCTTTAGTGGGGAGTGGTAGTGTAGCGGTTAGCGTGCTGCGCTATGAACCTGGCGATCCGGGTTCGATTCCCGCTCACGGCTAACACCAGTGACGATTATCTGAACCGGTCCTGGGCCTCTCCTAGGTCGACTCAGCCTTAAACGAGTACCTGGTGCGGTGTGTAAACATCGCTCACTGGGAAGATAAAGGCGGTCGGGTGTGGTGCTGGCCACCCACCCTCTCGTT